AACTAAGGGCTCCAGGCAATCCTGTATGTGCCCTGATATGTCCTATAAAGAACGGATCTTTTCTGTCCCAGATTAGACTTTGTATAGTGGAAAGCACTGTATCTGGCTAAAATTTTTCTTATCATCTTTCTTTATATGGGTGTTGTTGCTTGAATCAATAAAGTAAATCATCTTTATATAAATAAATTATTTTTAAAATATTTTATTTATTTATTTATTTATAGTTGGACACAATACCTTTATTTTATTTATTTATTTTTATGTGGTGCTGAGGATGGAACCCAGGGCCTCGCATGTGCTAGGCGAGCGCTCTACCGCTGAACCACAACCTCAGCCCAAAATAAATTATTTTATCCTATTCTCCATTGCCACATTATTACTCAGTGGGAAGACCCTATTGGGAGAAGCTGAATGGCTACACCATTCAAGTTACAGAGACTAAATCTCTCAACTTTTAGTTAGAACAACCAACTGCATACTGTCTTAAGAGCTGCCATTATTGGCCCATACAGCCAACACTGATGAAGAACTTACTCTGGTAGGAGTTTAGATAACTAAGAGGTCCTATATTAATCGTCCATAGTGATCCAATGGAGAGAGACAAAATAGTGTCTTCTTTAATAATAAAAAGGAATGGAAGAATTAACTTCTGCCAAGGAAAAAGAATTTCATCTCATAGAAGAACTGGTCCCTATTCAAACATTAAGTTCTTTCACTCCCACCTGGGTGCTTTTAAGAGAAAACCAATTTTGCATTGGAGAAGAGATTTCAGGTAGTTTTGCCAGTTTTATTGTTTTTATTTTACCTGGTTTTAAGAACAAGAATTGTTATGGACAAAAATTATGAAATAAACTGTTTGAAAATTCCCTCTCTTGCTTTCTGGATATGACCTCCTGACTATGCTAGCAAAGTTTTTTGTTAAGTACCTCTATCAGTTTTCTATTGTTATAATGAAATACCTGAGGTGGACTCTTTTATAAAGAAAAGAGGTTCAGTAAGACATGATAGCACATATCGGTAATCCCAGTGGGGGCACTGAGGTAGGAGAATCCCAAATGAAAGGCCAGTCTCAGCAATTTATCAAGATGCTTTCTCAAAATAAAAAATAAAAAGAGCTGGGGATATAACTCAGTGATAAAGTTCCCCTGAGCTCAATTCCCAGTACCAAAAAGAAAAAAGAAAAAGAAAAGAAGTTCATTTAATTCAAAGACTAGAGGGAGGATATTCAAGGCTGGACAGCTCCTTTGGCTTGGCCTCTGGTGAGGACTCAATGGCAGATGGTATCAAGATGAGAGCACACATGGGAGTAAAAAATTGCATCCCAACAAAAGCCAAAGAGTAATTTGGGAGTCAGACTCACTATTCCAAGAACAAACGTATGGTCCCATGAGAACCACCCTAATCCCTGCTGAGGGAAGCACCACCAGTGACCTAAGATTTCCACCACCTCCCAACATCACCTCACTAAGGACCAAACCTATGAACCCTCAGGGAACACACTCAAACCATACCCTAAGCCATGCCA